TGACAATAAGTACCTGGAAACAGAAACGTCTCCTGTCAACAGGAAAGGAGGCTTGCATTATTCATTGGATTAGAATTATTTTGTTATCTTTGGGGTCATTTTGATCTTCACTGATTTAAAACCAGACAGAGCCAACTACTAGAATACAGAACAGTCCCAGTTTAGAGCAAGGAAAATAGGTGATATTCCTCTTCCACATCTAACCCGTTTAACAGCACAGCTGCAGGTCTCTGGGCAGGAGCATTCAGTGTTATTAGTCAGATTTCTACCCCACAATTCACTTAGGAGTCAGTGCTCTGTACCTCAGCATGGGACTGTTTAGGTCTGTGCACACACACCAAGTGATGGCCCACAGCTGGCTGCACTAATCCCAGGTGGGTCATCTTGTATAAAGGACACCAGGATCATCCCAGAGATCCATGTCCAATGAGGGGCCATCAGAATGAGTTCACAGAGGGTATCACTGGGCATTTCCCTTCCCTCCTGCACAGCACCATTTCAGAGGATTCGTCTGTTTGTCTCAGGATAATCTGAAACCTGCTTCACAACCACCTCTGCACATCAGCCTCCTACCAGCAGTGAAAAGCACACCCAGCCACCTTCCTCTTGAAAGGGGCAGGCAAGAAGGCCAAAATTTACAACTGTCCCCAGAGTGAGCAGAAGCAGCACACGTCCTTCAGGAGCAAGAGCCTTGGTAATTAATTTTTGACTTTCAGAGCTACAGTGCAAGGAACATCTCACAGTTTCCTTTGAGCATCTGCAGGTGCTTGAGCTGCTCCACGTGTGCAGATGTGAAGGCACAAGGCAAGGCTTAAGCAAATCAGACCTTTGTCCTGATTTCCTCATTCTTGCTCAGACTTTGAAACACGGCAGGGACAGTCGTCTGTCTAAATCCCCATATTCCTTTCTGCTGGTGAGTTGAAGGAGCACTTGCCAACCACCCTCCACCTGCTTGTTGAAGGAAAACATTTGGGTTAAACTGAAAGCTTGACGTATCTAACAAATTCTCCCTCACCGTGTCTCGGTGTAGTTGTCAATACCCCATCCTTTCCTAGTGCCTTCTCTCCAGATTGTGTGTGAATTTTCTCTCCTTTTCCTCCATCTGTACTTCTTCTATATTTGTTCCTTTTTGCCTACCAGCTCTCCTCTCCCCCTGCTTTATTGCTCCAGCTGAGCAGAGGGCAACCTGCTCATTGTGGTGCCAACCATGCTCCTTGTTGGTGCCACCCACAGCTGTGCAGGGCACCAGGAGAGTAAAAGCAAGGGTTTGATGTGATGGATTAGAGTCAAGACCTCTCCTCTGTGCTGTCAACTCTTCTGAGAGCCTATTGCAGTCCCAGCCACTGACAAGCAGAGAGAGGAGAGAGGCGACAGCAGGGTTTTGGGGGCAGGAGCAATATGCAGACAGGGGCTGACATGAAGTTTCTCCCCATCCCATCCCATCCCACCCCACCCCATCCCATCCCATCCCATCCCACCCCATCCCATCCCACCCCACTGCCACGTCACTTGGTTCCTGGTGCTCTGCAGACACGTGCACACAGCCTGCCGTGTTGCTGACTTGCTGCCTGTACCTAAAGTCTTCTCCTTTTCCAACCTGTTATTTTGCTGTTCCAGCAATCACAACATCCTCGTGTAGGACTGTCCCCCCCCAGCCCTGGCAATGCCGCGAGGCTGGAGCCAGGCAGAAAGGGCAGATTTGTAGGTTACAGGAGGTGGTGAGGAAGAGCTGCTGCCGCTGCGAAGTCAGGAACAGGGCCAGGCTACAAAAGGCTGAGCCAGCCCATATGCCTTCACACCCCTCACCCCCGCCACAGCATTCACCAGATGTTCAAGTGCACATTTTTGATTCAACTCATCATAAAGGTTGAAAACATATAAAAATGAAGATCCAAGCACAGGCTATCACCCTCTTCAAAAACGAGAGTGTTTGGAGATGAGGTTTCACTTCAAGTTCATCAAAACAACAGAGGGTGGGTGGGAGAGGCAGCGGAACCACAAAATGGTTCAAATTCAAAATCCAACCTCAGCCAGTATAACATTTAAGTAAATGTTTTAGACATAAGAGAAAACGGAGGGGAAAAAAATGCATGAGCAGAACCTCACCTTTCCTCAACTCATACTCCACCCCTGAGCAGGAGCCAGGCTGCAACTCCTGCCTCCCCACCAGGCAGGAGCTGGGTTTCAAAGCTGTTTGGCTGCGACCTGTCAGCACAGCCCGTGTCCCAGCCCTCCTGTGCATCAGGCTCTGGAAGCGGAGCCCAGCCGTCCCCGAGGACCGCGCTGCCATCCCCAGCTCTGCAGCCCAGCTCTCCTCCCACTCAGCAAAACACCTGCAGGTTTGCTGCACCGGGCGCTTCCTGCATGCCCTGCACCTCAGGAAAACCCTTCCACAGAGGACACGAGTCTCCAATTAGCCTTCATAGCACCTACGTTTAAACAAGTAGGGGAGAAAACATCATACAATATTCATCGTGCAGTTCTGTCACCAGCACACCCTGTGCCCGTGTGAGTAGCTGCACGGCTTAGTCCCCCTTTGGTCCATCTGATCTACTTTCCAAAGGATTTGCACACGAAGAATGCTCTTTATCTTTGTACCAACCACAGGCATTTGCCTTCTGAGTGGTATTTGGAGCACACAACGTATTTGGTGTATCAAAAAAAAAAAAAATATTCCTCCCTCTATTCTTCCTCCTTTAGAAAGAATCATCCTTTCCCAGACCCAGCTCTGAAGAGTCCCTCCAGCTGTGCATTGCACAGGAGCTGTAAGTGGCTCTGCAAAGCCCACCTCTGCATCTGCCTAACCATCGTGTCAGACACCGCCCGTGTTTAGGCCCATTAACCTGATCACAACAGCTTGGTGAATTAATGCTTATATAGACACAGTTGGCAGCTTCTAATTAAATAATTATGGCTAAGCAGCTGCAGAGAAGTTGTAATGTTCCACTAGAAAGCCACATATCAATTTTATTGGTCCTCAAAGTTTCAAATGAAATGATTTTGGGGAGATTTGGAAAGGGGGTCCTTTTGCTGTGGGTAAATTCTGTGATATCATGCCTGCTCTCAGGCCAACTGGCTGCTGCCAGACCCCGAGCTCACGGCTGGAGAACCTCTGCAGGCACCAGCAGCTCCATCACAGCACACAGCAACCAGCACTGAGCGTAACAGAATGATTTGGATCGAGATAAAAGAGTGATTTGGCACCACGGTTGTTGCTTTAGCTTTTACCTAGGGAAGAACCCTTTGAAAAATCCATCTCTGAAACCCTATCAGTGTCAAAAATCCACAAACCTGACATGAGCCAAATGCAAAGCCTGTTGAAGTGGATAAGAGTCTTTCCAGGAACTTTAATTGGATTGAGCTTTCCCTGCATCGGGGAGAGAAGATTTTGTGACACCTCCTATAGGCTTTCACGCTGCAAAAATCCTGAGGTACCTCTCCTGTTGGTGCCTAACCCTCACTGTACCTTGAAGGTAAAAATTTGAGTAATATGAAAATCAGGAGTCTGTTGGCTAATTTATGCCAAACCCACCTTCATTCTCTCTTCAGTTAGCAAACCATTGTGCCCGTGAGGAACTTTTATTTTATTTTGATTTTAAATATAAACGCAAACACAATTCATTCTAATCCATTCCTTTAACCATATTAGTTCTCCTCCTGTAACTTGTACAGACACTATGATTTCAAACAGAAGCCTAATAACAGGGATCATCCGTCCCTGTCGGAATATACGCAGATCCATGACCTTAGAACCATTTAACTAAGAAATCCAGCTAGAAAACCAATTTTAAGTAAATCTCTGCATGTCAAAACTCCAGATGGCTTTTCAGGGTGCTAACTTAAGCACCATTACATAAGCAGATTAGGGGCTGCCTGTTGAGCCCAGACAGGGAGTAGATGGCGCTGAATCCGGTGTCACACACGAGCTCCTCACTTCCTGAGACATCTTTCAACTCAAACTTTTGTCAGGTCCCCACGCTCCGACCCCGCTCACCGTGAGCGCCGCGCGCAGCGCCGCAGGCCTGCCGGCACAGCCGTGGTTAGCCATCTCCAAACCCCTGCCCTGAGCAGCCCCTGGCCAAGGCCCATTCCCACAAACCGACCAGAGGATGTTCCATCCTTCACCCTTTTGAAAGGAAAATGGAGGAAAATATCCTCATGAACCTCTCGAGTATTTAAACACAGCAGTTTGGGAATGATTTTCTGATGCAGAATTAGAGGATCAAAATCACCCTGGTGTTACCATTGGTAACAGTGCCTCTACCTGAATATCAGCTTAGGAAGTTAATGAGCCTGCTAGAGCTATCAGCTGAAATGACCCCGGCAGAGTGTGATGGCTGTGATTGCAGTAAGCAGGGCAGATACTTCCCATCATGAGGACGGTTTGTTTTTCATGGGCATGTTGCATAACAAGGCACAGCAAGTTCCCTCTCCCTGCTCCCAGCCCTCCTTTCAGAGCACATCAGCTGGCTCCACCAAGGCCCCCTGCTGAAAAGCAGCCAGAGGGACAGGGTTTTGCTTTCCCTTCCCTGCGTGGAAGTGTGTCAGGTTTGCTGACAGATGGCTTGGCTGACTGCGCTTGACTATTATCAAGCAGCTATTACCTTTGTAAATTGAATCCCATTTGAAGATTTTCTGTAATTAAATCTGCAGTGTGTTTGCAGGGCTCGTACCGCGTCCCGCACATCCCGGGGAGGCGTGCGAGGCAGTCGGATGGGTGATGTACACAGCAGAGACAGCAGCACCCTCCAGGCACGGGGCTGGGGAGCTTCTGGCAGTCTGTGCTGCCACCTAGCCCGGACCCAGCCACTCACTTCAGCCTCCCTTTACAGTTTGAAAGCTTAAATCAAAGCCTATCCCCTACAGAACCAAATACAGCCTCAGTCCGCGGCAGACACGAGGAAATTCGCACTCTTTGTGTTTTGAGAATTGTACAGTCAACGGAAGAGAGCAGCCTCAAACGGGTAGTTACATTTCCCTCAGAAATGCCTTGTACTTACGGTAGAAGACGTATTCGGTGTAGCTGGACCAGACCTTGTCGTCGGTGTACTGGTTGACAAAGGAAGCCGTCACCGAGGAGTTACAGGCCACCATGTGGAATCCACACTCAGACAACATGTCGAAAGCCCTCTCCAGGTGCTTGAACTTGAGATAAAACCTGGAGGTGTACCTTTCTGGAGCCCTGTCTGGGTCTCTGCTTTCATTCAAACTTTCTCCAAAGACCTCTTTGACCAAAGCAATCCTTCCACAAACCAAAATCCTTGGGACTCTCCTGAATTTGGCATCTGCTTGGCTCTCCCTGCCAATAGTGCACGACCCCCGGTACCCAATGGTAATGAATCCCCACTTTCGATCGGGCGGTAGGAGCGATGAGGGTGGGCATATTCTCGTGTCACTGCCTTGGGACACCTCTTCGTAGTCACTGTGGCAATAATCATCGGGGCTTTGCTTATTGTCATCAGGAGACAGGAGTTTGACCAAGTCCGGGAGCTGGAAGTACTCAGCCTCCCTCTTGAGCCTTCCCTTCTCTGGGAAGTGGTCGGGCAGAACCACTTGCTTGTCCCTGAGATAGTCCAGAATATAGCGGAAAAGAAAACCATCTCTGTCGATGAAGAACCTTCCCTTGGAGTCCTTGGCCAGATCGTTGGCTGTGTCTCTCTTTGGGGTGAACATTTTCCACAGCAGGGAGTGAGGGGTGCCCACCAAGGTAGAGTGGCGAGTGAAGTAAACCTGGCCACCCACGTTCAGCTCCACCACCTCCGGGAAGGAGTGCAGCCCGGTGCCCTGCTCTCGAGGGGGAAGGTAAGTCCTGCAATTGCCACTTAGAGCCATCGTACTTTAAAACAGAAATCAGCAGCACAAAGCAGCAGGAGTATCAATCACTTCAAAGTGTAGAATAAGGCTCCCAACATTAAGGAGAAACAGGAGGGAAAGGGAAGTGAGAAAAGAAAAATAGCCAAAAGGTTTGCTTAAAAAAAATCTGAGTAGTCCATGAGTGACTGTGGCAGAAGTGGCTTATACCCTAAGCCATAGAGGCTGGAGAGCAATCACTTCGTGAAATGCAATCACATCGTTAGATCTTCCAACAAAGCCATCAAAATCAAGGTCAAGCCAAGCCTATGGTCATTCACAGGTCTGTCAAAAGGGAAAACAAAATAAGACACAAATTATTCTTTTAAGCATCACAGAAGCTACAACAGAGAAAAGCAGGTCAGTGTAGGAAGCCAAGCTAGATCTCCTCCTAAATAGGTCTATTTTTTGCAAGTTCTACACTTCTTTTTCACAAGTAGTAATCAATGGAAGAACTAGATATGACTCCACCATTTAAAATGCATATTTCATCTTTTAAGAAACATCAAATTCAGACATGCACATGAGGGAACAAGAACAGCGAGTCTTACCTTGGGTACAATTAATGCATAGCTCTTGTAAAGGAAAGAAAAATTTCAAGACACTCAGAACACACCTACAGGCACACAGAGCCCAGTGAGTACGGATCCGATCCCAGCGAGGGACAGCAAAGGCAGGAAAGTGCTCTTAGCGACATCCACGTAGAGCTCGAGACTCAAACCGAGTCACGGGAAAGTTACCCGTGGCAGGTGACGGGAGAAACCGATACCGACAGCGCGGCGGGGGAGAAGGGAAAAAAAACCCTCAACAAAAACCCCCGAATAAATCCTCCGGGGCTGCGGGAGCGCGGGGCAGGGGAGCGCGGGGTGCGCGGTTCGGCGGGCTCAGATGACTTGCAGAAACCCCGCCGCCCGCGCTAAGGGCTGCCGGGCTCCCGCGGCTCCCGCAGCCTCCCGGGCAGCGCGGCCGGCAGCGCCCATCTCCGCTGCGGGGCCGCCGGGGCCGGGGCGCTGCGGGGG